CCCGCCCGGCCCGCAGACCCCCGGCCTGCCCCGGTCGCGCCCTCCTTGTCTGCCTCCCCCTCCTCCCTGCCCCCCTCGCCTCTCTGCCTCCCCCTTGGGCCAGGACGGATACCCCGGAGCCCCGGGGGAAGCGGGCAGCCCACTGCACTCTGCGCAGGGGCAGGCAGGGGACCCCCCTCCCGCTCTGCCCGTCCCATGGGCCCCTCTCTGCCTTCCCTTGCCTAGGACAGAGCCGGTGCTTGCCTCTCTTGCCCACCAGCTTCCCCCACCCCAGCACCCCCTGAAGCCTTCAGGGCGCAAGCCGGGCTTTTGGAGGGTGGGGGAGAAGTACCCTCTGGGCTGCCCTGCTCCCCACCTGGGGCCTGCTTCAAGAGCGGTGTTTATGTGCGAGTGCAGGTGTGTGTGTGCTTGTGCGTGCACCTGTGTGTGTGTGTGTGCAAGAACACATATATGTACACGTGTGCATGCAAGCAGCTGGACCCGATGGTCCTTCAGGCACCCCTTTCAGCCCTACGATTCTATGATGTGGTTGTGTACAAGTGTGCAAGTGTTCACTTGAGTGCGCTTGTGCATGCACATGCATGTGTGTGCATGTAGGTGTGCACATGTGTGCACATGCATGGGTGATACATGCGCATGCGTGTACAGATGTGCAGGAGTGTGTGTGTAAGTGTGTGCATACACATGTATACATGACTGTGTGTGGGCACATGTACATGTCTGTACATGTGCATGTGTGTGCATGCTCATGGGTGTATGTGTATGTATACGTGCGTGTGTGTGCATGAGTGTGTGTTTGTGCATGTATATGTAAGTGTGTGTGTTTTGCAACCGTGTACATACCAGCGTTCAGGATCTCCTCGCTGCTGGCTTAGCATCCGTGCCGCTTCAGCTGTGGAGCTGCAGCAGAGATGGGAAGTCGAAAGCACTGACCCTCACCATGCAGGTGGCTGCTGAGCACCAGGGGATTGCTGTGGCCCCAGGGCAGGGCAGCTAGGGCATCTCTCAAGGAAGAGTCCTGTGGCTTGGGGTTGCCATGTGCTTCTGGTGCCACGTTTGTGTGTCAGAGGCCTCAGAGCCCCAGAGGCCAAGGCCTTGCCCGCCGTGGAGATATTAACCCAGCTGCGAGCCCTCTGGGGTGACAGGTTGGCCCTGTGTGATACAGGCTTGGCTGAACAGAGCCTGCACTGGGTCATCCCCATTGCTCAGAGCCATCTAGAGCCCCAGAAGCAGCAAGGGCCTTCTCTGCCCTTGGCTGGCTCACTAGGGAGGGGATGAGATGACTCCTCTGCCCTCCCCCTGTGGGCTGCACTGTGGGTGGGATGGGGAAAGGGTCGGCAGGCCTGGGGGGCAGTCCCACCCCACAGGGGATCCCTGTAAGAGCTGACTCCAGTGCCAGGAGGAGCTGGCAGTTCAAGGTGAGGGTACCACTTGCTGCTGGCTTCCTGCGGGGTGCTGACAACACTGTCGTGTGCTCTGCCCCCAGGCTCTAAGGTTAGCTGGGCCCTGCAGAGCCTCCCATAATCCCCATTTGGGAGTGAGTGAGTATCTAGGACAAGTCATGCTTGGTGAGGCTGTGGGGGCATCTGGGGCATGGGCAGAGGCTAGCAGCTCAGCTCCAGGCATGGAGTAACTCCTGGCATGGGCTCTTACCACAAAGTGCCAGTGGCTCATAAGGCCTTGGGGCAATGCAGGACCTTTGCTGGAGGGTGGGGTTCCCTGGCACATGGGGGGCATGGGCGTGCATATGGGGGGATGAGCCTGTTCTTGGGGCAGCAGCCAGGGCAGCTGCCCCAGACCATGAGGGGATCCCCAGTGCCAAGGCAGGTCAGAGGGTGGAGGGAGGGTGTTGAGAGCAGGGTGTGGGTCCCGGGGCCAGTAGGTATTTTGGGTTGCATTATGGGAAACATCAGTCACATGGTGGTATTGTTGCTCCCTGATTGGATGCACAACTCTGTCATAAGCAGCAGCATGGGCCTGTCAGATGCCAAGGTGGTGGTGTGAGTGTTGATGGCAGGGATGGGCAATCCCCAGGGGGAGAGCAGACTCAGTTCTGCATCAGGCACCAAGGAGGCCATGGTCAGGGCCTGTCCTCTGGACATGCCCCCAGCCCTGGGCACTGAGCTGGGGCTCCAGGTGGTCTCTGCCCCTTGCTGGGGGTCTCCCCTGGGCTGTGGAGCATGCAGCGCTGCCTACGGCTCTGGGCCGTTCTCTCTCACTCCATCCAGGCTGATGCTGTGGAAGCAGGAAGAAGGAAATCCCGAGGCCTCAGGGAGCGTTCCCTGCTCCAGATAAAATGAGCCCCGAGGCCCCAGCCCCACTCCCTGGGCTGCACTGAAAGCTACGCCCATGCCCCAGAGCAGGAGTCGCGCTCTGGATGATCCCGTCCATAATGACAGCAGGTAACAATCCTATGAGGCAGGCTGAGCTATGGAGAAGGAGCATGACGAGCGAGGAGCTGCTGGGCAGAGGGCTTGTGGGGCTGCCCTCAGGGGTCTCCAGAGCCCCCCTCAGCTCTCCTGCTCTCCCTTGCTGGCTGTGGTTGGGCTCTCGTCCCATCGAGGGGCTCCTCCTGCCCTTCCTCACTCCCTGCCTGGACGGCTGCAGCGCCCACTCCCACAGCAAGACCCATAAGACTTTTGCTTTTCCGGACCAAGGCGCTGGGAATGTGCCAGGGCTGCTGGGTCTGTGTGTCCGTCTGGCTTGGCATCCATCTGTCTATGTCTCTGTAGCCGATCCCCACACAGAGCTCAGAGGCCTTCGAGCTAGGGAAGGCTGTTAAGGCCTGTGAAGTAGGGTGGCAGTCCCCCTTGCCGGGGGTCATACTCCAGTCCCTGGCTATGGCTCTGCGGTGCTGGGAGGGACTGGTGCTGCCACGGGGAAGGGGAAGACCAGGCCCCAGCTGTGGCAGTGGGGCGGGAGGGACTGTGAGCAGGCTGTGCCATGTCACGTGGCTGGTTGGGTTCTGCGGTACCTGGGAGGGCTGGCGAGGCCCATGCTGAGATGTGTCCTGCTTTCTTGGCCACGAGGGCCAAGGCGGCAGCAGCCATGCTCTGGGCAGCAGGCGGGCAGGGCTGGCTGCAGAGCATGCAGACACTGGTTGGGAGGGGCCAGAAGAGGGATGCCCAAAGCAAAGGGGCATCTCGGGGAGGAGTGGGGGTTTTCCACTGTAGGGGAGCAGCTGGCACCAGGCCCGTGGAGCCCAGGGTCCCTTCTCCAGCAAAGCCCATGCCTGTCAGAGCCTGGAGAGGGCAAGGAGGCTGGTCTTGGCCCTAGGGTGGATTTCCTCCCTCACTCCCATCAGTTTGCAGTGCTTTGTGCCCCGGAGCTGTGGGGTGTAGACATTACCCAGTGGTTTGCACTCCCAGCCCTGCCACATGTTTGGCTCTTACCAACTGCTGGCCCTGGGCTACGTCCCTGGGCCAGTGGTGCCCTGAGTAATGGAGGGTTTCTTCTCGCAGCTTTGACTGACTCCCATTCTGCTTAACTTTTTCTGGCCCATTCATGAGCCAGGACCCCCACTCACCTCCTCTAAGGGGAAGTCTGCACCCTGTCCCCACTGCTCCCAGGGGCATTCCCTGTCCCCCTTCCTACCCTGTGCCCTAGCCTGAGAACCAGGCAGCAAAGCCACTCACTGATGCCCTCAAGGGAGGGAGGGTTGGGGAGCGGGGGGTGGGCAGGGCATACTGCACCCCCTGAGCAGCCATATATTCAGAGCCTGCCAGGTGCCAGCCTGGTTTATCCCATCTGTCTTTCTGTGGACAGTTTCACAGGTCTCTGAGCCTTCATGCCCTGACCCTCATCTCTGCCCTTGAAAGACAGGGGGCCCAGAACCGGCCTGGCAAGGATGACTCATTCCTGCAGACAAAAGTCCTCAGATCCTTTTCCTGCCTTCTTTCCCATTCTCTGTGCCCCCTGGCATGGGGCTGGCACTTGTGAACACCATAGAGAGGTTGGCATCTTTGCCATGTACTCGGGCCTGGGATGCCAGGCTCTCCGCTCTGGATAAAGGGCCTGGCAGGAGGAGGACTTCTAAGGCACACCTGCTTTCCAAAGCTTTGCTGCTTTGTCCCCACTTTAGTCATCCAAACTCATTAAAACCCACTTTTTCCGGGCTCTTTTGTAGCCATCCCTTTGTGAGAGAGGCTGCCTGGGAGCAGAAGGAAGCACGGGACAAGGGGCCGGCTGCCGTCAGAAAAGGCAGATAGTGGGTTGTCTCAGCGAAGGCTCTTTTGTCGCATCAAACCCTTGAACCATAGACACAGCGAATGAGGGTCACACCCCGGGGAAGGGGGGTGGTTTGATGATGGCAAGGAAAGTTTTGAATGCCACTTCCCTGGGATGACATCAGAACTTCTGGTGGGCGCCCTGATTTGTGCTGCTGTGTATGTGTGTGAGTGTGCACGCGTGTGTGATGATAGAGCTTGCGATTAGCTGACAGCCAGACAAAAAGCTTTCAAAACATTTTCTTCCCCCAGAGCACACACACAGGTGGGTAGATGGATGCATGGAGGGAAGCTTCACTAGGCATGGGTTCGGGAAGACTTTTCCAGTCCAACCTGGGCTCTCTAGGTCCTGCTCTGGCCAGGCTGTGAGTTGAGTAGGGCCCAGCCGTCTCTCCAGTCCCTGGCCTGCACTTTTCTGCTCGTCCACCTTTGATGGCTTGCCAGGGCTCTGAGCTCTGCTGTTGGTGGCGGGCCAGGGCAGCCCACTGTCTCAAGGGGCCTGTGTGCCCCTGTGTGATGCGCCCAAATGCTAGTGCTTCCTAGGTGTCAGTACAGCACTCAGCACCCCCAGGCCAACCTGGTGCCAGCTTTAACCCC